GGATAATAATAATAATAATAATAATCTATGATCAAATAAATTAAAAGCAACTCTACATAAAATGTTTTTTACTGAAAGTGAAGGACAAGAAATAAGATCAGGTCACAGGTGAAGTTAAAAATCTGCAACATATAAAGTGATGAACCCGTGAACCAATCAGGTGTCAGGATGTCCCAGTGTCACCACATAACCCCTGTTGCCCAGGTCACAGTGGAGGATCATGGGAGAGCTCTGACTGAGCACCCCCAATGGGACAGTTGCTTTGTGGACTTCCTGCGTGACGCTCCGGAGGCGACGGGGGATGAACCCGAAGACACCGAGCTGGTAGCTCCGAAGGTTCGAACCCAAACGGACATTTTTATTTGTTTCATCAATAATTAGTCTGAACTCCTCAAGATGACCACATGTTGGAACAGAGCCAATCAAAAGCTTTCATGACTTGATTGACAGGTGTATGAGCCAATCCCGTCCCTGGACACCCTGGCGGAGCGGCTGTCTGTTTTCCAGCAGCAGTACAACGAGGCGGTACGAGGCGGAGCCATGGACCTGGTCTTCTTTAAGGTGACCATGGCTTCTGTCAGACTGACGGCCACCAGCAGACGGCCATGTTGGATTCAGAGTTGATATTTAAAACTCGTAAAACTCTATTTTTTATTTCTTGCTGTGGAGGAAGAAGTTAATCTGTCTGTTGTCTCTTTGGTTCTACTGGTGAGCGACGCTCTCTGTTTAATCTGACACCGCAGGACGCCATGACACACCTGATGCGGATCTCACGGATCCTGCGGACGCCGCAGGGAAACGCCCTGCTGGTCGGGGTCGGGGGGTCGGGAAAGCAGAGCCTGACGAGGCTAGCTTCGTTTATCGCAGGATACCAAACCTTCCAGATCACGATGACCAGGTGCGAAACGTTTATTTAACACTTTGATTGTTTAGATTGGTCCATGTCCCATCTGCCTACATGGAGGAGGAGGAGGGGATTATGACTGTGTGTGTGTGTGTGTGTGTGTGTGTGTGTGTGT